TCCAAGAAACCCCCACCCCCACTATGTGATTAAGCCGACTAAAGGAGCCCAGAGATGTTTATCTGATATAGCGGCAGTGGTTGTCTCAAGACTAATATGATCTAATAAGAGATTTCTATACTGGTTAATACTAATAGCGTTTTTATTTTTCCAATTCAGGAGTATTGTTTTCTTTGCAATACAAAAGGCAGTGAAAATCATGCGAGATTTGTTTTTTTCTAAGGTGACATCATCTAAAATAGCATAAACTAACAGTTACTGTTAGTTTATGGCTTTTATTGATTGAGGACAATCTCTTGGAGCAGTTATGATAAAATAAAAAAGAACTGAATTAACTTGATCAAGTTTAATATCTGGAGATCGTCTCAAGGCCCATGTTTGTTTTACGAAACAAAAGTGGGATTTTAACCCTTCGAGAACCGCTGGTGTTATGGTTTTCTGAGTCACTGTTGGAGTAAAACCCTACAGTTGTCTTGATCTGTTTATTTAAACCTTTAAATATCAGTGCAGAGTCTGAGGAGAAAACATCCAGGTCCAACATTTTACTCTCGTCCAGCCTTCAGTTTCTCCTCCACTGTGTGATCCCCTCTGGAGCCCCCCAGGCAGGACGGACTCTTCCCCAGAGCGGGGTCTCTTCCCCACTGATCAGGAGTTTTTGCCTGGATGGCGAGTGCGTGCACACAGCCACTCAGTTCGTCCTTCAGCGCCTCGTTAACCAGACGGTGGCGCTGAATCAAAGGCAGACCCTCGAACCGGGAGCTGACCACCAGGACGCGGAAATGCGACTCAGATCCAGGGGGGACGGCGTGCATGTGGCTCTCATTGTGAACCTCCAAGTGGTCTGGCTTGAACAAATCGGTGAGTTTGGTTCTGATAGTCCGCTCAACGGGTCGGCTGGGGTCCGGGTCCATGTGTGGTCTGAAGTGGGCCAGGGGCCGGGTTAAAGAAAGGCAGGTGGTGATGGGCCGGGTGCAGCGGGACAAACTGGGAAGCATCAGAAACTGTGGCAGAAGACCACCTAAAGAACCAGAAATGTATAAATACAAACTTTTCATAGAAATTATATCACGGCACTTTTTATCAGAGCTTTAGAGTAACTAAGTACATTTACTTTCTTACAGTACTTAAGTAATTTTTTCAGGATTTCTTATTTTAACAGGTTTTTTGTTACTTTTACTTTTATTTTGTTACATTTAAAACCTAAAATTGATACTTTTTCTTCTTTACTTTTTAAATTTAACATTAGTTACAAATGAAATCTGTCTGAACTCATCATGACGAGTTATTTCTGCTCTAAAAAATGAAGTCATTTCAGATGGTTTCACTAAACCTAGTAGAGTAAATACGGGGGACGAATATTTTCTCCACTAGGTTTGTTGAAACCAGTTTGGTGAAACCAGTTTGGTGAAACCAGTTTGGTTAACCCTTAACTGAAATCCCTTACAAGCCTTTTGAAAATTTTAAGGTGCCGAACAGAGGAAGTTGTCTGACACCCTAGTCCTTAAAATAAAAGCTCCCAGTAGCGTCTGGAAACCAAACCATTTTTGCCCACTGGTGGAACAATGGTACTTTTACTTTCCCATTTTAATGTACAGTTTTATGACTTTTACTTGAGTATTTTTCTCATCAGTGGAATTTATTTTTACCAGTCATTTTTTGTTAGGGTATTTTTTATACTTTTAGTTATTTTTTTCAAGTACTTTATAGTCATCCTCTGCCTTTTATTTTAGCTCTTCTGTCTGTGAACAGGTGTTTGTGTTTTTAAATATTTGTAATTTTGAAGTATGACTTGTCTTGTAAATTAAGAAACGTTAAATTTACTTTTTATGAGCTGAAATGCAATTATTTCACTCCTTTTGGTTAGAAAAAGGCAACTTCCCCAGAGGTTTGTCACGTCTACAGCAAATGGCGACAAAGAAACAGTTGGAGAGTTTATTATTATTATTATTATATATTATATTATTAGAGTGTTTATTATTCGTAATATCAATGATCTGTTTAGTAAAACGCGTTTATTTTATTTTATTTTATTAGTATAAATGAGTCCAAACATCAAGTCAGGTATATGTCTCTATAAAACTAACATTTGTTCAGCTTGTCTGGTATTTTGTAGCTGTTGGTGTGGGGTTTTGTTCGGTTGTTTTGCTTGTTAGCATTAGCTGCTAGCTAGCAAAATATGCTAACTTACTAGCTTTTCAAATAAACACCTCGCGCGACATAAGAAAACAAATCTTTACACCGGAAAGATTTTTTTCCCACAAAATGTGAGCATTTGACATTTTTAGTAGGGATATATATATTTCTAATTATGGCCATAATGAAAAAATTTAAATCAATTTAGCTCTTACCCTTGACAGCACAGAAATCAACACACTCTTCTTCGGTGTTTTACGGCAGCAGGTTTTCCGGAAGTAGCTGCTGCCCCCTGCTGGATTCCTCTTGGTACTACAGCCCCATTCAATCCCCCAACTAAACATTATTATAATTTGTTACAACATTGTCCAAAACATTTCATATTCTCACTATGTTCCACTGTGAATAAAACACGGGTTCATAAAATTTACAAATCATTTCAGTCAGTTTACATTTTACACCACATTTCAACTGTTCTTGAAACATAATTCAAAGAGTTTCTCTTCTGGTTCTGGATCTAATACTTGAATTTAATGAGATTTCATAATTCTAATGCTTTTTTGTTGTAAGTTGGTGCTAAATATACATATAAAATTATGCCTCTTGCAATAATACAATAGTTGGATAAGTATTTTTTATTGCACTTAAAACAAAAATACTTTTCATAATCTTTTTTTCCCACTTGTTTATTCTTTGTCGTTCGTTGTTGCTCATTTTAACTCCAAAGGGTCGCAGCAAAGTGCAAACCCAGTCAAAAGTCAACAAAGAAAATAAAAAACCTTACACACATTTAAACAAAACTGACATAGCCACATTTATTCTAACTATAATTTGCATTATTTATTACTGTCTAACTCATTCTCATTTACAAATTACACACAGTCCAAGACAACATACAGCATGATCCATTTACACCTTTTTTTTTTACATCTTTTTAATTTTGATTCCACAGTTTCTATACTTACAATCAACTACAGTTTCTACAGCACAGTACAGTGACAGAAGTGGAAATTATTTCTTACATTTATTAAATGGTGATGCAGTTTTTACTGACAGAAGCCCAAAGACTCAGTGGTTGTAGAGAGTTACACACAAATGTCAAAATGTTTCATTTCATGTTGTTTTTAAGCCAACGCGGCCAGCAATGTGCTTCTATCCCCAAAAAGCTTCAGAAATAACCAAACACTTATTGCTTTATTTACTTTTTGCTATGGCAACAAGTTCATTATACAAAGGAATGAAAGAAAAACCCTGTAAGATCAGATCTTATGGATCATATTGAACAGTTTACAGAGAACAGGCCTGACGACGCTCATGATTTATTTCCTATTCTTCTTTGTGCTGTTTACGGGTTAATTTTTTATATTAATGTGCTTTTAGGAGAGAAATCCTGCAGACGTTTTCTGCTTCGCTGATGATTTTTGGCTGATTTAGCCTGAACTTTTCACAGTTTTAAAACAGATGAACTGTTAACCACGAAGGTTTGGATGAATTACAGAGAAATTAAATTTTTTTTTTATTGTTAGATGTGGATCAGAGGACCAAAAGGTTATTAGATACATTAATTTTATTTACATATATTCATATTTGTAACAGAATTTGTGGTATGATGAGTGAACTGAAGCCATACAAAATATTTGGCAAGAATTAATGAGGCGGGACTCTTGGCACGCTCGTTTGCATCAGATGATAAATTTGTGAGATTTAAAACGTTAAAAGGGAAACTCTTCTGGAGCTGCACGCCCACCCACAGATTTGTCTTTTGGTAGGTTTGTGCTGTCGGTTTGTTTCCCAGCACGGCAGCGTCGCCACGGGTCTCAGAGGACTCTCAGAACCGAGCTCGGGTTTAATCTCTGTGCAGTAATTTGGCTCTTTATTCAACTGTTTACGTGCAGTATGGCTACTATCCTACAAAACAATGGCAGTTTGGACAAAAACGGTTATTCTGACAGGATCGGTTCAGTTGTTGTGAACATATTGATGCAGATCGAGGGGCTGAAGCAACATTTGGAGCCGTTTCTTGTGTGAATTATATGAAAATCTGATGCCTTGGCAGTGAGTTTTCTATTAATTTACCATTAGACCTTGCTGAAACACAAATAATCTGACTGTATTTTAAATAATGTCTTCATTATGAATAATTAGTCTCAGATCTTAATAAAACTCAACATTTTACTAGGAAATAAAAGACCTTGACTTCGATCAAATGTTTACATTTTGTGAACTAACTAATTTTTCATAAAAGCTCATTAAACACCTCCCTGTTTTCCATCATTATAGGAGACAAGCATCCAACATCTATTTAAAATCAAAATAATAATGGAACGATAAAAGCCCTGATAAATAACTAAAAATTTTCTCAATATTAAAAAACACACACTCACGTTCAAATCAACAGAAAAATACACGGCTGCATCAAAACCATCAGTTTTCTTCATTTTGATTATTATTGTTGTCTTCCACGCAGGTTTAATACAGCAAATAAACCTGTTCAATGTGTGGCCTTTCTTGTGCCATGTGCTCCAAGCCCCCTGCAAATAATGTTCAAAGCTGTCATCAAACACACCTTTCTACTCATGGGTGGAAAATGTTAAAATACTACAGCGATTTACTTCAGAGTAATATAAGAGCAAATGTAATAAAGTCCTGCTTAAATGTGGTCGTCTCAGTTTTCAAGTAACACACAGTTCAGACTTTGTAACATGCAGAACACCCTCCAACACATGTTCAGGACAAACATACTGTATAGTTTTACAGGAGAAGAAAAAAGTCAGTTTTCACTGTGTGACCAGAACATTTCCCTCCAGAAAATGCTCACGTGACAGATGGTTGTGCTTTAAATGGACGGGAATCAGACGCGTCCATTTTCTGACGTGATGAGAACGGATGTTTTAAAGGGAGAGAGAAAACACAACGTCAGAAACCTCAACAGGAACAGAATTCAACCTGGAATGCTTTATTCACTACAAAAATAAAAATAAAAAAACATGGCAGTTATTCTCCACATGGACATGAGACTCCAGGAGGAACAGGACGAGGACGAGCCAGGACCCGAGGGTCCCGCTGTAAAACCCCCCCTCCTGCAGATTCAAAAATGCTTCAAATCATCGCAGAAGTTGTTGCATTTTTGAGTGAATGTCCAACAATAAGAAAAGTACTTCAGGGTTGAGTTGGGTTTACTCAGGATGGAGGTGGAAACAGAGAACTCACTGGTTAGTGGCTCACTCTTATGGTGCGGTATGAGGGCCAAAACTGAGACTATTGTTCACCCAGCGGTGGCCACATGCTTGTAGCAGGAGGTTAAATCTACTCCGAAGATCTATTGATTGATTATTAATGACAGGTCGGCACCGTTAACTGAGCAGCTGAAGGGGTTCTCTGCAGACGAGTGGGCGGTTCACAACAGACACACCTGATTGGATGATCGTTGCTTCGGCCTTTCTTTATATTGTCCTGATGCATCTCAGTAATCCAGGTAAAAAAATCAAAAAGAAAAAAATTGTATAGGTCCTCTGGACGGGTTCTTCTCTAATGAAACGTTTCGTCTCTCCTCCAAGAGACTTCTTCAGTCTGAGAGTTTCAGGCTAAATTCAGGCTTTTAAGCCCTGCCTCCATGTGACTGATACTCACATCACATGGCTATCGTTCACACCTAATTAACACCTATTGTTAACAGGGGGTGGAGTGATACTGGCAATAGCCGCGCTGTAGGAGGGGGACAACTGAAAACGGAGGCCTCCACCTCTGTTTAATGATGGACGGTCTTTCTTCACAAAAATGGCTTCTTTTACTCCTCTCTCAAACCAACGTTCCTCCCTATCAAGAATGAGAACATCCTCATCTCTGAAAGAGTGACCGCTGGCCTGTAAATGAGTGAAAACTGCAGAGTTCTGGCCATTAGATGTAGCTCGTCTGTGTTGGGACATTCTTTTGAACTGTGGCTGCTTTGTTTCCCCGATGTATAACTGGTCGCAGTCCTCCTGGCACTTAACAGCATATACAACAACATTGCTCTGTTTGTGCCGGGGCACCGGATCTTTGGGGTGAACCAGCCTTTGCCGTAATGTGTTTTGGGGTTTGAAAGCCACTGGGACATCATGTTTCTTTCTTTATATTATTAGCTTACTTTGGAAAGAGACCCTTTAGAGCTCCATGTTGGAATTATTTATCCCTCTCCAGTCATTTGACTCTAAAATTAACCCCTTGATTCTATGATTTGGCCTTTCCCACCCTAATAATTAACCCCTATGCCTCAGTTTTGGCTGCTAAAATTAACGTAAAAGTAGTTAAAGTCAAAAGTGAAAGTAAAAAACGAAAGAGAAGAACCAACTTTTCGAAAAACAGAGCAAATACAACTAGCCAGTCAGTGTTTATGTTTAGAAATGCCTCGCAGTGTTGCTGGATTGGGCTGGTTTCTGTCCAAATGGGTTTTTTTTAAACACAGTGGGCTGGAAAAAACAGCTGTGGGTGGGTTGTTAAAATTTGAGCTGCTTTTAACCACATTTGGTGGGTTTTTAGAAAGTATTCATAAGGAAATTACATCAAACTATTAAGTGTCACTGCAAATTTGTGTTGGTTAATATCAACTGTAAACACACCAAAGAGAAGAGTGGGTTTCTGAGAACCCCCTCCTTCTGCAAAACAAGAATATTAGTTGACTTTTCTTATGCATATGCTTGCAGCAAACATTTTATCATCCCCATCTGTTTTATTTCTTTTACAAGTTTTCATTCTAAAGATGACTGTCAGTCTCTCTAACGCTGTCTTTTCAGAGCTACAAAAAATGTAAATACTGATTCACTGCAGATGTGGTGTTTTGTTTATTAGTATAATGTACACATGGGTAGGCTATATCAGTAATCTAAACTTTTTTATATTGCACACACAGTCAGAGGTTGAGATTTGGACGTTTTTTTTAAATGTTATTATTATTATTATTATTATTATGTTGTTGTTGTTGTTGTTGTTGTTGTTGTTTTTTGTGTTTGGGCAGGTTTTACGTTGTGTTTGGGCTGGAAACTGTCAGTCCAATCTGCTCTGCAGAGACCCCCACTTGGAGCAGCTGGCCCTGGTAACTGAGAGGTTAGCAACTAGCATGGATATGCTGGTGTTAGCATCGGAGAAGCTAGCGAATCATGAGCCAGAACTATCAAGTTGAGCTTTTTACAGTTTTGACAGGGTATTAAATTAGGCTTCTCTATATTGAATTGTAATTTATTATATACAGATATTTCTTATAATTTGGCAAAAGAGAGAAAAACAACAACAAACACCACCATTAACCAATAAACAAGGGCAAACCCATCTGCTAATTCCGGTGGTAACTAAAGCTGTGTGCTTCACAGTAATATGTTTTATGTTTAATATTTATCTTGACGTCATGTTGAACAGTAAATTCTGTCGAAGGAACACCTGTCAGTGCATGGAGCTTATAAGTTTATATGTCAACCATTTTTTATTGAGAAAATTTACTTTATTCAAAAAGGTTTGTCTAATAAAGTAGGTGAGAAGCCTGGGCATAGCCTCCCCGATGCTAGCACAAAGGAATAGTCTCCTTCTTATTTGCCAGTGAGGGCCTCAGTTAGTGGTACCAGTCTATCATTAATCAGATCAATAATTAACTTATGGATATAACCTCCTGCTACAAGAATGCAGAAACCGCTGGTTGCACAATAGTCTTAATTTTGGCCCTCATCCTGTGCCATACACTCTGTCAAGAGCCCCCTGTCCACTGACCTCTGACCCTTTCATATTTTTATCTTCTCCAATTTCAGGTAATTATCAATAATAAACCTTGATTAGAAAGGTTTTCTGGGATATTTTTGACACAGATTTATTATCAGTAATCATAAAGGTACTCATTGCAAGGAATGAAATCACATGTTGCAGTTTGAAAGTTAACTTCAGTACTTGTTCAGATATATTAATAGACAAAGCTGAAATAAGCAAACGCCTCAGCTGATTCCACCAAAAACCATTTAGATTGAGAAGTGTTTCAGATTAAAGATATTTCTATCTGCTTTCTCTACTAATCTTAGTGTGAACAGGCACCAACACGTTAAAACCATCAGGTCACACATGTCAGTGTTAAAAACTGTGCAGGTTTAGTTTCTTTATAACACTGCACTGAGTACCTTTAACAGATCACAGGTTAGGTTTGTAATTACGGGTGGGTTCAGAGGACAGAATGAGGTGGGCTCCGGAGCAGTTGGCTCACAGTGTGGCAGAAACCCTTTCCTGCCCTCTGCGAAGCTGCTGGTGCCACACTACTGCAGCACTTGACCCCTCGTCTCGGGTAGTTTGAGCGCGAGGAAGCTGCCCACCGCCAGCGCCCCCGAGGCGAACAGGATGGGCACGGCCTTGGTGATGCCCACGAACGAGGTGAAGATGCTGATGCCCAGCACCGCCGCTAACTTACACAGAGCGTTGAGGAAGCCAAACGCTGTGGTTCTAAAGCAGAGAAGAATACAGGAAAGCAAAGTTTTTTATGTGTTCATGTGTTAGCAAAATATCTCATGACACACTGGAGCAATTTAAATGAACCGATGTACATCTTTAAAAATACAAAAATGTCTCCAACTCAAGTCACGTTTATAGGTGGTTTGACCAAAACTCGATTAAATAATTTTAAAACTATTGCATAAAAACACAGGATGGGATTCATTCTTTTTAGAAAAGCTAAAATTTTATTTTAAAATAAAAATAAGGAGTAACAAACTTTTAATTGTGGAAATTTTGAAGGCTGCAGTGATTAAGATTAACCACAAGGTGGTGTTGTTTTCCTAAAAATTCTCAGGCTTGAAAGCAAAATTCAATTTTGATGCCAATTTTCACATTTGCAGTTAATTATTCTATTTTATAAATTCATCAGTTTCTATGAAAATATAATTTTGTATTTGAATGAATATTTTATTCAGTCAAATAGAAAACAGATTTTTATTCGAGCCATTAGGTGCCAAAGAACTCTCCCCATCTCAGCAACGTTACCCCACAATGTCATCCGTCCCTGTGAGCCAACCAATCAGGAAGAGGCACCTCCTATGACATCACCAAACATGTGACTCATCAGAGCTAATGCCGTAGGAGATGTGAATCTGTGTGACCCACCTCTTGTGAGAGGGGTAGAGCTCGACGGTCAGCACGTCCAGGGAGTTCCAGGAGGCGATGCTGATGCCGCCGAACAGGCAGAGCAGGGCGATCATGGCCGACTCGCTGTTCCCAAAGGACAGGAAGAAACAGCTGACGCACGAGATGACACTGGAGCCGGCTGGAGAGGGGAGGAGACGAAAATCTGTGTCACTGCTGCAGAGTGTTCATTTATTAATTAAAGCTCATTTTCTCATTTGGCCTCAGGGGGATTCTTCTTTTATCTAAAATTTTATTTGTCATGTGTTTTGAAGTTTGTATTTAATTTCTTACACATTTCAGATGGGGTTCCATTTGTAAAGTTACACAGTCAAAAATTACCACCAATATATTTTTATTTAGCCTTTTATAAGAAAAAAGAACAGATTTATTTTTCAAAGTCAGTTTTTCACCATAAGATTCATACATTTATAAATGTCATAGTTGATAAACTAAATATTTAACTTACAAATTAAATATTTAGTTAACAAACTAAATATTTAGTT